ACAACTGAATGAAGTCACTGGAATTGTAAAACAGAAGACACCAGGAAGTCAATTGGCAATTTCAGGACATGGTGCTACAAAGAAAACAGACTGCCATTTGGCTGATGGATGACTAATTAATTTGTATTCATTAATTCATTTGTACAAGAAACAATAAATAATAACTGTTTATTAAGCAAATAACATGCACTATCCCTTACTATATACTAGGTAGGTGCTCCATGAAAAACATTTGCAATTCCCTGAGCTGTAAGACACACTCAGTCAGGCAGTAAAGATGTAGCACAGGATGCCTAACTTCTGGATCTGATTAGCTTTGAATATCTGACTTCTCAACTTGTGTGTGCAAAACTTTACTTATACCCAGATAACATAAATCTCCTAATATTCTTTTAAAACATTTCAGTTGTAAGGCAGGAACAAGAACTGTAATATATTTTTAAAATATTATTTCCCAAATTTGTAAACATAGAAGACAACCTTAAAATCATTAAGCAGCTGTGTCAAGAAAACATGTCAACACCACCTTGGCATTACAAGTTATGATTTGAAAATTTCTTCAACTAATTTCTCAAATATATTTATCAGAATAAAATGTCACTGCCTAATCATCCATACCTGCAGAAATACAACCAAGGATTCCAAGGCTCCATTTATTACCATAAATGGTAATAAATAATTCCATTTATGACTTTGTTTCCTAACTAGTTTAAAAGTGAAAGACCTACTGAAAGAGATTAGTTCATACTCAAACCTATGGAGTATTCCTTTTACTCGACCCTCAATATTTCTTTCTTCATGTCAGATTTCCCTACCTCCTCAATTTTTTTTTTTAAATATTTGGAACATCTGAAGCAATATGAAAAAGATGAATAGAAAAGGATTATTCACTCTCATAATACAAGATCTAAGGAGCATCAAATGAAATTATGATGTGGCAGATCCAAAACAAGCATAAGGAAGTACTTCTACATATAGCACATAGTTAAGCTGTGGAAGTCCCTGCTTCAGGATATTGGGATACCAAAAAGTATACTTGAGTTCAAAAGGTGAATGGGTAAATTTATAGAATAAATATCAGTCAAAAAGTATTAACCACAAGTATATAATATCTGGCTCAGTCAGTTCTACAACAACAGATTGCAAGAAGCTGGATGCACATAGTCTGTTTGCTTAATCTGTTCCTATCTATAATCTTTCCTGGACATCTGTTAGCGGCCTGTCGGAAACATGACACCAGAAAAGATGGACTTTCATCTGACCTAATTATACCTCTTAAGAACACTGAAAATGCTATAAAAATTAATGGGCAAAATTTTATTTATTATGACATATATGTCACTTTTCTAAATACACAGGAGCAAAATACTAAGTCCTCTATCCTATCAACACTGATCAACATTTTTACCAGAATGCCTACCATAATTTTGAGAAACAACCCCTTAAAATTATGTTAATGTACATTTGGATATTCAACAAGTCTGAATTATATTAGAGAAAACAATATTTAGAAATCCATAATTAAGTCTCAGACAATTTAGTTACAATGCTAGAGATAGTAGAAAATCTTTAGCAGCATAAGTGGCTTTTTGAATTACAGTCTAGATAGGCATAGGATGAAATTCACTTTATTGGGCCAGAGAAATTGAGTCTATAGATCAGATATGAAGCTTTAACATATATCAGTATCTCTGGTGCTTGCTGCAACTAAGCCCAAAATACCAAACCAAACATGATGCTAAGCATGATCCACTACATCCACTCATTATTTAGCTCAATATATTTCATAACTGGAATCCATTCTATGAGCCACTAGATGCATGCTCTATAGCAAGACTAAAATATAAAGCTTAAATATAAAATTTACAAGGGCTGATAAATCAGATATTCTGGATTTATGTAACATCCTGGGGCTAGAATGCAGTTTAAACTGATTATTATTATTATTACTATTTTCACTATTTTCATGGTGAAACCAGAATGCAACATACCATGGTTAAGGTACTAGATCCAGATTTAAAAAAAAAAATTAGGAATTATTAAAAGAAGAGTTTAAATATTCATTTAGAGTACAGCAGTACATATTAGAAATGGTTTCAGTGGATTCCCCCATCAACATCAAGATTACTGTCATCTGATCATAACACAAGTGCGACTAACACAGCTGCCATGTCAGCTTCTCTTCAGGGGCTAGGTCTTAATCATAAATCAACTGAATGACTAATTCAACATTGTTAAAACCAGCAAGTAACTGCTTGGAGCCATTCCAGTTTTTACATCTTTCAAAAGGTCAATACACCTACTCAAACACACAATAGTCCTATCTTTCACAGTGTTTTATTCTTTCCTTGGATTGAAAAATGACACACTGGCACCTAAATATAAGTGTGCTTTAACTAACAATTAAAATGTTCATTAATTCTGAAAGAATGACCGAGTAAAACAAAGAAAATTTCAGTTCTCCACTCCATACAAAATCAAAAAGCCTCTTCTCTCCTTCGCTGTTTTAAACACTTTTATAGTTGCAAAAGTCTGATGAAAAGAGTCTCTTGTTATATTATGAATTAAGCTCAGAAATAAACTTTTTTTAGAAGAATGACTACAACTAAATGTGGCTTGTATTTCAAATATGAATACCTACCCCTCAAAATAATAACAAAAATCAGAAAGTGGTATCTAACAGTAAAATATATTCTAATCATTTACATCTGCTTGCACCACATAAATGACAGAAGCCTACCGTTAGCATCCTTCATAGAAAACATTTATTCTGCTCTTAAATATAAAAGCTATGTTGCATAAACAGAGGATTTAAGGCTGAGACAGAGTAGCTGAAGGAAAGGAAATGGCAATCTTTCTGGTTCTAGTAGATGCCTTTCCCTATCACACAATGTTTCCCACTCATAAATACATGACAAATACTTCCTCAATCATTTTTTACGAGCAGGGATGCACAGGGGGTAGTCAATGGCTAGCTTGAGGGAAAATAGGAACAGCAGGAGGCAGAAACTGTACTGAAAATGGCTATGTGGTAAATTCTCTTCTGGAACATCACTCAGATACCCAGGCTTTGATCTTTCAGCTACAATTACACTCACATACATGAGATCTGGGTATACTTTTTAAAAACTACATCACTAATTGTAATAGAAACAGTTAAACTGTTTCATTATACGACTCCTCAACTCAAACATCTGATTTTTTACAAATTAAAAATTGCAATTTATCCAAAGATTTGCTTTCAATTGGGTTTAACTATGTCATCATCACAACCAGTCTCACAAAAAACATGGGGTGACTGGCGACAGCTAAATCACAGACTGGCGTCGCCTAAGCAGTCTGGCTGCCATCAGGGTCTGGGCAATGGTATTTACTGTACAATTAGAGCCACTGAGCTCTACCTGTAGTCAGCCAATACAGGTGTGAGGATCCTTTTCAGGACATGGAAATTGACTCATCCATTTGCACACAAGCTTCCACATCCATGCTCTTACAGCAAGCCTGAAGAACCATAGCATTTTTACTTTGAAAAAAGTATCACATTGCAGAGCAAATACAACTACCCTGATCTTAAATACTTCCTTGGTAGAACTATTTCTTATATTTAAATTGTCATACTCAAAAAATATTTAGAGGAAAAAATGAATTTAAAATTATAAAATTCGGACAAATATGAAGAGCTTACATTATTACATTGCTTGTGAAGTCTATTCTGAAGTCTGTGTTTGGAACTGAGAGGGTTTGCTACTAAAATACGTTAAATTTTGGTCTTTAGTACCAACACAAAATGTCTTGGAGTATCAAAAGGACAGTTTTAGTTGCAGTAATTTCACAGAATTTATTCTAATGATTTATTGGAGTTAACCATCTGACATTAATTATTGTTTTGGCTTCCAGTCTATGAATGTTTATTTTTCAGTTTAAAGCCTTCTCACTCTTTGATATCATATGGAAATGAGAATTTTTAATGGAAAATTGAAACCATGTGCATCTAAGTACTTAATGAAGTACAGGGAGAAACAGAGGGTGTACTTTAGGAGAATTCAGATATTCCGCTTTAGATACTTTTGATTTGTTTGGATGAGTTACATGCATATATCTGTTCACAAACATACATTTATACATCTTCAAAGTATCTCACAAGTACAGTGTTTAGAATTCTGAATTGTAAGAAAATATTTGCTGTTTGGTTGGGTTTTTTTAAACTAAAAACACTGCTACAGATTTTCCTTCATCATATGCTACCTACCCAATGTGTTCCCTCCTCCACAGAGCAATATTTATGCTATCTAGAGCTTCCAATGACATGCTAAATGCTGTACTTCCCAACAGTGGATTCCCACCTTATGTCTACCATGTTAGGATTGGATCTTCATCCACTTCACTGAACGTCTGATAGACTGATTTTGTAAACACTATGTACCTGAGTCACAACACTGATGCCAGAAATACCTGACTAAAATCTGAGCTATTCATGGCACTAAAGCCCACCAAAAGAGGCCTGTAAACCACAAGCAAGGCACAAGAAGTGGCAAGAAAGCCAGGCACCCAACTACAAACAGAAGAGTAACACTAAAATGTGCAATTTTGCTTGAAAGACTTCTGAGCAACTCACATAGCTTTAGTCTTCTGGCACTCAATTCATTCCTTTGGAATGAAAAAGATGCTGTTCAGACAACCAGCATTATAGAACGTGATAAAGCCACATGCTTATTCAAATTAGTACTTCCAAATCAACTCTATTTTTTTTCATCATTAATGGCTTCATGTTAAATTGGATGGAAAGCATATTCTTTTCTGCAGTTTCAGTCAAGGTTTCACCATATGCATTGTATTCCAGCAGCATGTCAGTGGGAGCATAACAAGTAACAGCAGTGCAAGATTAGTTCACATAGCTATTTTAACGAATATCCTTGGTGATCTAAATGTGCAAGGAATTACTGACCATTGAAAAACGTGAAACAGAAATATAAGTTTAGAAATTTAACCTGTATACTCACCATTTGTTTTTCTTTCTAATGTAGTCTTTTTCAGACAGATTAACCAAGTAGATCATCGGTTTTGAAGTAAAAAACAAATGTTTGTTCAAAACATCAATCTGGAAATGAGAATAGAGGGAGAGAATTTTAAAAACAGTTTAAATCAACTTGAATGAATTTTTTGATCATTTTCCTCATAGCATGTCTGAGAAGGCTACAAGAATCCAAGTGTAATACATAAATCATAGATAAGTAGAGATTCAGCTAATGAATTCAACATTCAATAAACTATGAATATAAAATTTTAAAAAATACAAAAAACCCCAACAATTTAAAAAGAATCAGTAACAGGTAGCAAAATTAGAAGTCAATTCATGGAGTAATATTTATAGCCTACCTCTTTGTCATTCCAATCATGATAGAAGCGGACAGCTTTCTTTTCATCTATTACCCATGTCTTGATTTTGCACATTACGTCCTATGCAAGATCAAAAAAAAACGCAAAGTCAAAAACTCAGCTGGATATCAAGACTATTCTCTTCCATAAACAAGGCGTGTATCCATTAAGATTCAAAACATACACACAAATGAAAAGTTAGATAATACCTTTTATAAACAAATTTTTACTCTCCCAGACAAGCAGAAATTGCTGCTTTCAAAGTCACTAAAGAGCAATATGGATTATTGAAGTCATCCAAATCCCACAATTAGAAAGTTAAACACACAAGACTCAAGTATCATCTCTTGTCACCAAGAACATCAGCAGAGCTCATAAAAGATATGTAAAAATCAGTACATTTTAGATTGCTTTTCGAACTCAGTAAGACGCAACATTTCAGCATCCAGCGGGAGAGACCACGTACAATATAAACATGCCATTAAGAAAAGGGAATGGGTGGGACAAAACTCAGCAAAAAAAAAATTTTTTTTTTAAATTGTGAGCAAAAGAAATGGAGCCTATTATTGATGATCCACCCTCAAGAAATTAATTCAAACGGCCAAAGCCCTTTTTATTCCGCATTAATTTTTCGCCAACACCTTCTCCCTCCCCCCCCAAAATGAAACCTGCCAAAGCCTCCATTACACAATGGCAAGAGCCTTGCACTGGTGACCTCCAACCAGCTGCATTCACTTTCAGAACATCTCTCTCGGCAGGAAATCTAAAGGCCTTTTAGTTAGCAAGCTAGTGTGCATTCAGAAGGAGTAACTGCAGGAAGAGCCCAATGTGCTTTGTTTCTCTGGCCTTTCTTCACAGAAAGATTAATCATCTGTGAAATGGAAACGGCAAACAGCAAGTGACACAAACTGAACCCTTCAAGCCTTTCCTCATCAGTTTTGTGGTCGTGAATCCGAAAGCTGCGTGTGGCACGGTTTTCCTTACAGGCAGGTGTTAATAAAAGGCTCTTGGGTCTGAAAGGTCAAACTCCGCTCTTCTAGGAGTAGTACATTTTAGAGTCGCCTATTTTTTGTTGTAGATAATTTATGATCATGCTTTAAATAATGCATTTTTTTAAGTTGAAATTGATGCAACTGAGCACTAAGATCTTTATAATACAAGGAAACATTCCCTGAACTGTTGAGCACACAACATTTTCTGCACTTAATGCTATGCGGTTGAAGTACATTTATAAACAACCACAAATAACATCAGTATTTACTACCGTCTTTTCTAGTCTTGCAGTAGCTTTAGTGGAGGGGAAAAAAAAAAAGCTCTTCTAAATCTTCAGATCCTGATTTGAAACCCTCCAGGAACAGGACTCCCCACAGATTTTAACAAGGAAGGGGCAAGCTAAAACTTTTAATGAAATCTAACATGTTCTGCCTAAGAATAATCACTTTTACTCTCCTATAACTGAATTTCACTCATAAATGTTTAAAAGTGGCTAATATAACACCATTTCCTACAAGGAGAAGATCAAAGTGCTATATTACAAATGCATTATGATTAAAAAAGCACTGTGCAGCTTTGCTATTAACTGTTCTTTAAACCCTAAAAGGCTTCCCATAGATCTCACTTGGCACTGCATATACAACCTTTGACAAGTAATGTAGACCATTTTTATTCATTGCCTAAAATTGTAGGCAATTATGTGCGTCACACTGGCCACCTGCAAATTCTGAATGCCTGCTCCAGTTGTCAGAGCAAAAAACTAATGTCGGAGGGGATTAATCTAGGGGGAGAGAGTCCTCTTTAATGGCTCCAGCAGGTGAAATGGCCCAGCTGGTTACTATGATGAGTGGCCAGAACAGCTTATGTAGAGACATGCAACAAGATTACACATAAAGAAGAAAACACTGGCACCATCTTATCTTTAACCCTATGTGTTTTTTATTTTTTTAATTATTCTGTATAAACAAGATAAGGGAAGCAATTCTACCAGTAAGTACTTTTCACTTAAGATCTTTATCTTCAGCTTCTCTTTAAATAGATATATATAAAAATCAACACAACCACCAAGATTCCTGTTCAGCAGTGAAGGAATTCTGGTTACATACTATTTTGGGTTTTGAACTAGTTCTATAGGTACCTACCACATGACTTTCAGCATTACAGTTTCTCCCACAATAGCAATGCATTGCTACATATAAATCGGAGTCAATAAAAAACTGACAGAAAAAAAACCCCACCACAGCAGAAGTCACTGGAGCCAAACTTTTACGCTTCTGCTTAAGAAGAAATGACATGTTTTGTACTCACACTGTAAGGGGAGCTACGTAACATAGAACCTCCACAAAATTTCAAGCACCAACACAGCAAATAAAGTTTGGCCTTTCTAAAGCCTGTCTAAGCACAGAGCTGCCAATCAAAACCTCTTCCACACTCATTTGCTATTTACAGTGACACACAATCTAAATCCATTTTGGCACTGACCTAATTTTATTAATTACTTGTTTATACACCTGACTTAAAGCTGTTTGCAACTGCTGTTCTAAAGGAGTGATTACATGGACAATTTCCACAGGTAAGGCAGATCTACAGCTGAGCATGCTAGGGACAACTAATAACCATCTACTTGCAATTTTATTTTGGTTTTATAGGGAGGCTGGCAAAATATTGTAAAACTTTCTGCAGGTAAAAGGATAGAAACTTGTAAGCAAATGCAGCATTTTTGTATAAAGCTGATGAAGCAGTGAGATACAAAGAAGTTCTCTCATGGACTATACGAGCAGCAGTCACAGCATGCAGAAGCCAAGTAGACAGTCCAGAAACTCAAAAATGGGTGAGCTGAACTTAGATTCCCCTGCATCAGTGGTGGTGTTCCACTGAAATGGGACTTAACTCTTTAACAAGAAATTGTTAAATACAAATGACAACATGAAGTAAGGCACATATTTCCACATATTTCTTTTTAACTCAGCTGCCCCAATACTCTCAACAAACATACAAATAGCACATTTTGGGGTTATTTCTCATGTAGCACCCTCTTTAATTATCTGCTTCTATTTAGGACTGGTAAAAGAGTACAACCTGATCTTTTTATCTTCTCTATCACTGTACTAGTCATTTAAACACATTTCATCACTACTCAAGTTAACTTTGAGATGCTTAATAAAAGAATACAAAGCAATGATCCACTTTCTTTTATTAGATCTGGCATCCCCAATTGTACACTTAGAGGTCAATCTGTCACAAGCAGAATGATCCACTTCGCCTTCTTTGATGAGAGGTACTCTTGTTTTCCAACTAGCAACATTATACCAAGAGCCATTCAGAAAGCCACCAAAAATCTGCCCAAATTCCAATTTCCTTACAGTTGTCAAAGCATATGAAATGCAGCAAACTTAATGAATATCAAATATCTATGTTTGTAAAATCAGTTCATTTCTGACTATATGCATGGCAATATATTTAGCACTTACAAATACTCAGTATATTTAGTCATACAAAATACAATGATTTTTAATTATGTCCTGCGCTCATTTTCCAAAGACCACAAGTACTCAACCCACAAATGCTAAGCAGGACATTAACAGTAAGTCCAGCAGTATAAAATAATGAAATACATGTAAATTGCATATAGCAGATTTACCAAGACCTACTCATGAAACACTACTGTGCAGAAAAATGTGCATACATTAATAGACTTTCTGGATGAATGATAGTAATAATGTGTGCCAATGCCAAATTCTTCTTACAGCATGAGGGACTAAACTGAAGCTTGGAAACCCACTTGCCTACTTGGCATCAGAGAATTGTGATTTTTTTGTTGTAAATTACCAGGGCATGTAATTAACTTCCGTAAATTTAATAAAGAAATAAGCAGTTGTGAGGATTATCACTTCACACTTCAAAGTGCAAGTGAATTCCCTGTGATCCTGCAGGCAGTGCAAAAGTCTCCACTAGTACAGAGTAACTGTGAGTACAGTAAGGTTTTTCCCCCACCAAGGGACATATGCAGTGTTTTTCAGTATCTTATTCCCTTCAAAACTTCCAAGATGTAAAACCTTACCATCTCCCTGTAAAAGCTTCAAAAGCACTTTTTATTAAAATGTTTCCTTTGTCTAAAATTCTATTATTTACACTTCTCTGCTGCTAGGAAAAGCTACAAGGAGTACCTAAAACATTATCCGTAGCTCTTAGTTAGCTCCTCTCACTTCATTCCAAAGTCCAACACCTTTGCATATCAGTAATGAAGATGGTAGTGCATAAATAACCCATTCTGACTTCCCTAAACAATCTGGCTCAGTGGCAGGAGGTGTTTCTCTAATAAATCACTGCATATACTAAATGGATTCAACACCACCTACCCAGCAGGTCTCAGAATACAACTGCAAATAAAAACCCCAATGTGGTGTTTCTGATGGCACTCCAAACAAACTCTCTGCCTTTCCCTGGTTACCATCTTTCAACAGCCAAAAAAGGCCATGTTAATGATACACACATTCTGGGAACAGTAACTTACAAACATTGGGAACTATGTAGGAACCAGAACTGCCCCACAGCTCTAAAAAAGCCAACCATACTTTTGAATACAAAACCCTGAAGTTCATGCACTGTTGGGCAGGGGCAAAGGGAGGGTGGATACAGTATTTACCAACACAGCACTTCCCTCTTGCGAGAGTGGCAGAGAAGCCTGGAGAGTCACAAGCAAATGAACTGTACTGTAACTAGAAGAATAATGCAATCCTGGAGTATATAAATAGCCTAGTGTCCAACAGGAATAATTTTATACTTATCTCTGCTGAAATGATGAAAAACTGGAGAAAAAACCAGAGGTTTTGAGAATGTGCTTATACATGAAGATTTGGTGTTCTTAAATTCTATGCTTTTATTCTTATTGCATATATATTTATGTAGATATATATAGATATATAGATATATATAAAACAAAAATATCACATATGCAGGGTTTTTCACACTACCATAGAGAAATCAAATGACTGCTAAAGCTTGACAAACATTGACTAAAATTGTCTCATTTCTATACAGTGAAGATAATTAATTATTGGCATAGCTAATACAAGTTAAAGTAATTT